CTTTCAAGTGCCACTTTCGTCTAAAGTTCCATCTTGTAGAAAAGAACTTCATTTAACACTTCTCAAAATAAAACTTAAAATATCTTCTTATATTGTTAGTTTGTTACTAAAAACATTCAAAAGGATAAAAACAGTGGAGTAATTGATGCATACTCTAGAACCTGATTCAATTGATTCAGAGAATAAAAACACCACCCATCAATTCATCATTGACAACCAGAACTTGTTATTATAACCATAAGGTAATAATTAAAGCCAGGTGTGGTTCTCTCATGATAACTGTGGGACTGTGGGTGGAGTAAAAAAGCAATTGAGAACCCAATAGCCTATTTAAGTTTTATAATCTTTCCTGACCACATATAACTTCCAAAGCCAGGTAAGAAAAATAAACATAGGTTTAATAAACTATCGTATCAATAATAACAAAATCTTGAGACTGGACATCCTCAAGTACAAGTACCATGCATATTAGTCACAACATATTCAAGCAATATAATATGTACTTGTAGGCTATAACAAACATGACAATTAGTGTATCAAGGACCAAAAGGAATTAATCGAAGAGCTTTTAGGTTCAAGTAAAATATAGGAATGGTCAGAAACATGACAAGAACCAGCAATGCTAGTTTCAACAATGTTTATGAGGCTCTGACCTATTTACAAATTACCATGATCCTGTTCTCAATGGTCAAACTGATGCAGTAAAATATGCAGATGCTGCTCTACAGTAATATTAATTCAGATAGAAGATGACTGATTTAATTATTGCAATTGCATATGCATGTTCATGAGTCGGTGAGTGATCTAGGATAACCTGCCTCGGGGATGAAGAATTCCATTGCCATCAATCATCAGTAGCTGTCAACAAAGTGTATAACGTCAATACAGTGAAATAGGCAGAATTTATTTGGATAGAAACAGCACAATGTTAAATGAGAGGGGACAAAAAAAGTTAAACTGGGACAAGAAAAGGAAGCATAGAGAGAGAGGCTTTGAAGCCTTGTAGGTTGTGTATAGTGAGCATCAGCAGGAATGTGATTGGAGAAATGAATTGCAGTATATCAAATATAAATTAAGAACACTAAAGTATTCTGTTACTTGTGTACAAGGTAAACAAGCCAGTGGTGGTGAAGATTTTAGAAGCCATCACTAGTTCACAACGCAGTTCATTGGCTAAAACACTTGTTTATAAAGTTGAATTTTATCTAATCTCCATCATAATTCTACTAACTGGAAGCCCTTAAACTCCCATGTATCCCTTTAAAGTAATTTTTAAAAAAAAAATCATTAATACTTCTCAATTTCTTTTGCATAATTCACCAAAACAAGGCTTATCCTTGATATAAGTTAACATGGAAAGTGATGAATATCACCAGTTCACAATAGCTAAAGGTACCCACACGGCCACACAGGTTTGTAATATATAAGCAAAACAGGTAAGCAGAACGACCACAAAACAACTATAGTGAGTCCCTCATATGCATTTTCCATAACAATGCGAACCAATTATAGACTTCAAATATATGCCCATCCTAGTACATCTTTTCAGATTAAAACCATTTTCATTCTCAAGATTATGTTATCTCTCCCTAACATATTTTCAGTCACTCTTACATAATTGAAGGGTAGATAACTAGTAAAATAAAACCAACAAATAATTATGATCGACAATCATTTTCAATGTCAAAGCACTACATTACACAAAGTACCTGAGGATAAAATGGGTGAGCATTTTCCTTCATTTTGTCCAAAAGCTTCAAAAGAATAGGAGCCTACAATAGAAATCAAACAAATTCATATAACACCCAACAAATGCTCAAATGTTTCAAACAAGTAAAATAACAATTTTCCACTAGAAGTTGAACAAATTACCACCAAAAAAAAAAAAAAAAAAAAAAAACATCCTATGTGCAATAGGTCATAGGTGTATTGTATACAATGCTCATAGTCAATCCAATCACAAAAACAAATCAGTCTCACAAATAGATGACTTTTAATTAAATACGAAATACAATACACCCGTTGTATACAAGACCGCACGAGCACAAACCTCTCTAAAAGCAAGGAAACCCGGAACATAGGGGATATGAAGCTCGGCAACAGAGAAATCATCATAGACAACATTCAACGAGTCAAGTTCCAAAACCACAAGGGTCCCACAAGCAAAAGAAGGATCTTCCTTGAGGAAGCTAATGTCAACCCCTCCAACATACTTCAACACCTCTTTTCTCTCTCTATTATCACCCATTTCCAATTCTACAGAAGATGATGGAATTTCCCATGAAAAATCATCTTCTTTTATTAATTTCTTTTTGAGTTCATCTTGAATCCTGAAATGTAATACCCAAAATTAAGAAAAATGCTAGATTAAAAATACCCATTAACGAAAAAAGGTGAAATAGTTGAGAATTACAGAAGAACATACTCAATCCAGTTGTGTTGATGATGAGATGAGGAGGAAGAACTCTGTTCCATGCCTTCTGAATAACAAATTTTAAGGAATTCAACTAAATTTTTGTATTTCCTGGAAATGAATTTTGAACAATTGATAGCAACAAATTTGGAATTTGTGTAATGTTTAGGGGCGTTTGTTAGTCATAGTATGAGGACAATGAGTTAGACCATCATCATGTGCCGGACCGGGCTCGTAATAAAAGCTGACCCATATTGGACCTAAATTTTCCCCTAAACCCACTATTTCGGGCTGAAACTCAGATTATTTGGGTCATTTTCAGATTGGACCAAAATTATAACTACGGAGTATATACAAACGTCTCGTTCACCTTAAAAAATAATATTCAGTAAAAATAATTTCATTTTAGTAAAAATAAATTTAGTATAATAACATTAATTTCAGTTTAGTAAAAATAAGTTCAATTTAATAAAATTAATTTAAATTCATTAAAATTAATTTCATTTCATTAAAATCAATAAAAATAATTTCAGTTCAACAAAAATAATTCCAAATCAATCAAATTAATTTTCAGTTCAATGAAAAAAAATAAGTTCAATAAAAATAATTTCAACTCTATAAAAGCAATTTAAGTTCGGCAAATATAAAGTGAAGTGGACAGGGTCTAACTTCGTTTTTTTAAATGCATCACTTTGTACATATAGATTTAATAATAGAAGTTTAATTTAGATACGTTATTTTTCTTTTTAGTAGACTTGATCAAAGTGTGGGCCCAGTCGAGTTCGAGCTGGGCCAAAATTGACATTACATGCCAAAACCCTTCCTAAATGACCGGCCTATTTTTCAAGCCAGGCTAAAAAAAATCGACTAAAATTACATAAAAATGCATTCCCAAGCCCAAATCCAAGCTGGGCCAAAACTGACTTTGATCAGATATACTATTCCCGTCCCATAATATAGTTTTCGTTTTCCTATTTTGGTTATTTTGAAGAACCAAATTATTGTTCTGTTTTTATTTTTGGATGGTATGTAATTACCATTATTGTACTTCTTAGTTTATCACTTTTTTCACTTTCTCTCTCTAACTTTTGTCTATGATTGTACTTTTCACTTTTATTAATGTACTTTATTTTTTTGAAGCCTTTTTTATTAATGTACTTTATCCATTTTCTCTTCCTATTTCTTAAATACCGTGGAAAAACACAAACAAAAACTATATTATGAGATGGAGAGAATATTTTTTTAGTTATTAAATTTCACTCTCTCTCTCTCTCATATCATATGGGTCCTCTTTTTTTTTCTTTCTATCTATTTCTCTCATCCATAAAAATTTGCATAAAAATGAATGAGAGTCGAGTCAAACTTAGAAATGAGAGTCTCATGCAATATAATACTACTTTTTTAAAAAAAAACTATTTCAAAAGTTTGATTAAGAATGAATAATAAGCAACCAAGCAAGTTGAAGTTTTGGGAATGAAGGTTAGTTTAGGGGACAATAATCCACTTTAAGAGTTGTAGATATGGAATATTATGGTTTATCCTTGAGACATTTGGTTCACAATATGGAATATTATATGAATATTATTCAAATAATATCATAAGTATAAGACATTTGGTTTTATGAAAGCTAAATAAATTATATTTTCTCTATGTTTTATTGGTTGAGAGAAAGTGTGTTGTACCCCTTGATATATGCAACAATTATATTTTTTTTTTTTGGTGTTTAAAGAGCCATAAGGGCGGGGTCAGAATCGATCCCAAGATCTCTTGAAATCGGGAGGGAAGCTCTAACACTTGAGCTATCCTTCACTCTCATGCAACAATTATAATGAGTTTATTGCTAGTTGGTACTACTATTCTATTAGATAATTGGTCGATTTAGTGATACAATTAACATTTTAGGTAACTCTTAAGTTTCATATAACTATTTTATTTAACAACTTATCAATTTCAGCTCTATTTCACACATGTGTAGTCGAACATACCCATATTTTTTTTAGGGGGGGGGGGGAGCCATAGTTTATTTATATCATCAAGTGATCAAACCTAAATTGTGATAATTTTATATTTAATAATGTAATTAAAAAACAAGTGCACTTTTGAGAAAAGGGCCATGTTTGGTAATTGGCTTTTTAATGGCTTTTTGGTTAGCTTTTGGCTTTTGGCTTTTTAAGGAGGTCAAACAGCCAAAAAATGTGTTTGGTAATTGGCTTTTTAGTCAGCGAAAAAGCTGGCTTTTAAGCCAAAATGAAAAAGCTGCTTTGAGTAGCTTTTTTGTTGGTTTTTGACTTGTTGGCCCACAAATTATCTAATAAACAGCCAACAACCACCAATTAATTTACCAAACACTTTTGTAAACAGCCAATTTCAAAAGCCATTATAAACAGCCAAACATTCCAGCTAGTCAAACAAGCCAAGTGAACCAGCCAACCACCAATAGCCATTTGCCAAACAAGGCCAAGAACTTCTAGAACATTCCAAAAGTAGAAAAAACCAACTAAGCCAAAAATAAAAGTCCTATAACCCGAACACAAAAAACCCGACCCGAAAATCTAATCCCGAACATTCCAAATTCCCATCTCTCTCTCTCTCCATCCCTAAACATATTTCCCTGCGACACACACAAACATAGACGCGAACCAAATTATATAATTAAGAGAGAGAAACACCTCCTCAACGTATTTCTCTCAGCTATCCGTTAATGGAGGAACCGACTACGTCATCCATGGAAGAACAACAGCCTCCTTCTCCTTCGCAAACTCAATCGCAACCTCCTCCGTCACCTCCACCGCCGCCGGAGATTCCCGAGGGTTCCGGCGCCGGTGAAGATGTAGATGATGATGATGAAGATGATGAGGAGGATGATGGGTTAGGTCTCAAAGCTCAGAAGTTTATGGAAATGATTACTTCTTCTCCTGATAACCCTAATCCTAAAGCTCTTCATGCTCTTGCTTCTCTTCTCGAAACTCAAGAATCCAGGTTTCTTTTTTCTTTTTTCTTTTTTATTTTTTGAATTTGAATTTGAGCTTGAGTTTTTGATTTTGTTTGTTATGAATTTGAGTGGATTTTTGGATGTTTGATGTTAATTTTGGAAGTGGGGAGCCGAGGTGATACTGTGAAGTGGGAAAATTGGAATTCTTAATTTTATATATTTGTTTGTGAATTATTATATAATAATGAATAAAGAAAGGGTTAATTTGTTTAAGGTTGTTGATTAGTGAAATTATCAAGTTGATGAAAATTTCTGTTTATTATATAATATAGCTGGTGATGATTGTTGTGAGCTGTATTTGAGGATCACCTGGGTTTTATTGTGACGTTGCAATGATTATATCTCTCTTCGAATTCTCGTATTTGAGGTTCAATTGGGTTTTATTATGATCTTGCAATGATCGCCTTTGAATCGATGCCGTTTATGGCTAGCTGGGCAATGCTTAGGAACAGAATTATTGTTTCTTACGGAGTAAAATCTGTCGGGATTTTAGCATCTGCTATATGACTATATCGTCGTAAAGATTTGACGATATAATGAGTTTGTAGGTAGCCATAGTTTAATGAAAGGGATTTAGCTTACTTGTCTCCTTTTTTTTCATTCTAGTTGAATTATAAAAAAAAATCTTCTTTTGTAGAAAATAATTTTCTCATTGTATGGTAAATGAAAGCCTGCAAACGGCTTGGGATTCTTTTCTCACAAACAATTTTGAGGCTTCGGGCAATCTTTCTCCTTTTTTTTTGCTGTTGGATTGATGTACCAAAGATGAGAGCTATAACTGCATGAAAAAGTAATTGTTATTTCAGTTGTTTTCACTCTTTATAAATACTTGGGCTGTTTGCTGCAAATACTGTTTGAGCCTTATGGTTCAGTGACTTGTTATGGTGGAGGATAAGATAGAATAAATAAACTTATCCCAATGTTGCATTTATGATTTTATCACATTATTATCTGGGTTGGAATTCTTAATTTATCTCCTAATTCCATCTGAATTTGGATTGTGAGTGGTTTGTGAAGAAAGAAATTGATTTCATGACGACTGGTTTGATTACTTGAGCAACTTTGTTACTTAATCCTGTTTAAGATGTACTTATATACCAATAAAAAAATTCAGTGATTACTAATTACTGGTATAGGGTGCATGCCTTTTCTTCTTGAGAGAGAGAGAGAGAGAGAGAGAGACAGAGATAAGGATGGGATTTTTATTTGATGACTTATCAAATTCCCCAAACCCTTTTAGGGGGTGTTTGGTATAGTAATTTTAGATGTAGGAAACGGATTCAATAAAGTGTTTCCATTTCTAGTTGTTTGGTATGTGTTAAAAGTAACAAATACCGTTTCCTAAGGGTAACAAAATCCCCCAATTTATTACCCTTAACAAACTAGTGGAAACAAAATACGATTCCTTACTCAATCACAATCTACTCAAATTGTTTCCATTCCATCAGGATACCAAACATATAGTAAAGATAACGTTTATTATTACCCTTTCCCCTACTTATTTGAATCCTTTCCGTTTCATTTACATTATTTATACCAAATACCCCTTAATGTAATGGTAAATCATAAACAATGCTATATGTCGTGTCAGAACTGGAAGTCTGGAAGTAGTTATTTGGTTGAAATAAAGGAAATAAGGATGGGATCAAGAGTAGAAACAATGCTGATTAACACTTTTAAGAGAGAAGAATGTGACACATGAGAATAGGAGGACAATGAGGAAGGAAGGTTTTGGTCGAATCATAGGTAATGGGCCGTGATGCTTTAGGTAGAAGAGATGCAGGGATATCGTATGACTTGGTGGAAGAGGAGGAACAATAAAATTGCAGATACTAGCTTTATAGTTGCACCCCTTTGAAAATGTGCTCCAATTGTCAACAAAAAACAGTGTGGCAATCTTTTTATGCTCTACAAGTGGTTTAGTGCTGAACAAAAGCAGTATTCCCTCTCTTCGCAACCCCTTGGGTAAACATTTTACATCCTTTCTTACATTAAGGCATAACCATAATGGATTAATTGTGTCACAAGTTGATGAACTTGGATTTAAATTTTGTATGGCTCATTTTCTTGAAACTTTGGTGCTAGAATGATTCTTTTGCTGCCTTATTAAAACTACAACACAATTTAACATCTTATTCTGAGATGTTTGATTATGTTGTCATGGTTTTAACTTTAAAATCATCTTAAATATGGTCAACTGGTACTTATGGTGATTATTAGAGGCATGGGTGTTCAAGAAGAAAAATTGATCTTTAGTTCCCATGTTAAACTTTAAAGCCTTGATTTTGGTCTGTACGACTTCTTTAGTGCTTGCTGTTTGGATGTCAGGGATTTTTGGCTACATGCTGTATAAACAGCTACTGTGGTTTCTTGTTTTCTCTCTCTCACTCTAATGTGTGTGTGTGTGGGGGGGGGGGGGGTGTGGTTCTTTTCCTCATACTTCCGCTGGGTGGGATTTTTGGTACTACCTCTTGTCCAAATTACTTGTAACTTTGGAGTAGTTTGCGGAGGCCAAGGAAAAATTTCCTAAGCATGTTTATTGAAAGATAAGGGTATACACTTAAGTATTAATCAAGTAATAAAAAAAAATCCAACCCAATTTTATAAAAGAAACCCACGACCACCAACCCAGTCACAACCACCAACCCAGCACACCGACACAACCAACCCAGCAAACCCGACACCGAAACCACCAACCCAGCACACCGAAACAACCAACACCGAAACCACCAACCCCAACCCACCGATTTGAAATCCACGACGCCGCCGATCCCCGCCGATCTTAAACCACGAGGAAGGAGAGGAGAGAGAAAACTCACGACGAACCCCGCCGCTCTTAACACCACAAAGCCACCATGAAAATGGGGTTGGAGGAGGAGAGAGAAAATTAACTAGGATGAGGGTTTAATTAATTAAGCTTGGGGTTTAATCTAATGAAATCAGATTTGTAATTTAATAAGGTTGTTTGAAAAAAAAAGTAAGGGTACATTGGTCAATTACCACCCATAATTTTACTAAAAAAGGAAAGAAATGGGAAAGTTGTGAGTAATGTGGACCGGCCTAAAAAGGAAATAGTTGCGAATAATTTGGACCGGAGGTAGTATATTATTTTGTTAATGTGCTCTACCGAGTAATTTCTTTGTTTTTTTTTCGAGTTCACTTACATTTTCTTATGAAGAAAGAGTGTCTACATTTAGTTTTTTTCTTGCTTTCCTGCATTTTATTGTGTTCTAGTTGTGGAAAATTTTCAGTACTCATAGCATTGAATAACTGGTTATCACACACATTGATACAGGTATATGGAAGAGGCAGATCATTCCTCCCCCAATCACACTCGAGCTTCACATAGTATTGGACGCTTGGGTAATATAATTCGGGTAATGGCTAGAGGACAATAGGAGTTTAGACTTCGTAATATTCTCCTTCATCAGAGCATCTACAATTTCATTATGGATTTGATTTTTATTTTGTTTGAAAATTTTCTCAGCTACCTTAATTGTTATCTTCTTCAGGAAAATGATGAATTCTTTGAATTAATCTCAGCAAAATTTCTATCAGAGTCTAGATATTCAGTATCTGTCCAGGCTGCTGCTGCGAGGGTGCTTCTTAGCTGTTCACTAACTTGGATGGTAACTTGTTGATTGATTTAGCTCACATTCTCATCATGCAGAATAATATGAGTATTTTAATCTTAATAAATAGCTGTAATATATGTGCAGTTCCCCCATGTATTTGAAGATGATGTTACAGAAAACATAAAAAACTGGGTTTTGGATGACAGTGCGAAATGTTGCAGTGGTGATGATGGCTTATGGAAACGACAATTTGGTGAAACAAAGTGCTCTGATTTTGATATGCGCAAGACTTATGCTACAGGACTTCTTGCATTATGCTTAACTAGGTATGTCAGAGATTCAATATCTTGTTTTGCACTGTGTTTTTTCCCCTAAAATTTGCTCACTAATTTTCATCCATCAAATTGGCAGTGGTAGTCAAGTTGTTGAAGATGTCTTAACTTCTGGTTTGTCCGCTAAGCTGATGCGTTGTCTTCGTAATCGTGTCTTGATTGAGACAAGTAGTAGTCAAAAAGATACAAGTCATGTCGCTGAGAATAAAGGTGTTTCTACAGTAGGTGGTGGAAGAGGTAGAGATGAAAGTCGTACCAGATTACGACCACCTATGGAGACTGCTTCTCTAGATGATTCTAGGATACTAGAAGATGGAGGTTCAGCTGATCTAGGCAGTGAAAGGGATCATGATAGAAGCTTTAACAGGCCAGTGCATGGAGAAGAACGATGGATTATTGGAGAGCCACTTGATGGATTGGCTGAAGATATTGACTTTTATGATGCCGATATTGACGGTGAGGATCGTTGGCATGGGCGGGATATGCATGATGGAAGGTTGAAAACTGGGGAAAGAAATGGACCGGGAAGATCCTTGCATGATGAAGATAATGATGAAAGCGCAAGAGATGATTCAGCTAGGCGTAGGGTTAATCGTGGGTTGATGAGATCTAGGAGTAAAACCAGGGGTAATGAAAGCACTACAGAGCCTGAACAATCTATTATGTCTCCTGGATCAGGAAGCCGTGGAGGGCAATTGCGAAGTGGTAGGGAGAGGAGTTCAACTAAAAATTTGGATGCTAAGCGAGTAATTGATAACAAGAAAAGCTCAAGTAGGACAACTGCTGAAGGTATTGCAATGGATAAAGAAGATATTGATGAATGCATCTGTGAGTGCAGAATTGGCTCCAAGGACATCTCAGATCTTGTAAAAGCAGCTGTTAGGGCTGCTGAAGCTGAAGCAAAAGCTGCCAATGCACCAATAGAAGCTGTCAAAGCTGCTGGAGAGGCTGCTGCTGAACTTGTGAAAAGTACTGCAATGGATGTAAGCAAACACCCTCCCCCTCTCCAAGTTACCACCATTCCCCCTCCCCTTGAGCTTTGTCTTTCAGATAAAACACATTTTTTAACTTTGTATGTTTACATTAATAGGAGTTCAAAACTACAAATGATGAAGAGGCCGCATTTTTGGCAGCTTCAAAAGCAGCATCCACTGTTATTGATGCAGCTAATGCAGTTGAAGTTTCAAGGTTGTCATTTTAGAATCATGCCATACAATACATGTCACAGTATTAATTAATTGGTTTTGTGACTATGTTTTATGGGTTTCTTTTAATTATGCAAATGGTGTAATTGATTGATTGTAGGAATACTGAAAGTGTTAGTGTGTATTTACCAAAAGATGGAGCTGATGAGCCGGAACAGAATGAGGATGTAGAATTTTTCATCCCAGATAGTGATACACTTGCCCAACAAAGGGAGAAGTTTTGCATCCAGTGTCTTGTGCTCTTAGGAGAGTATGTTGAAGTATTGGGGCCTGTGTTGCATGAGAAGGGGGTTGATGTTTGCCTCGCGTTATTACAGAGATATTCTAAAGAAAAAAAGGAATCAGAAATAGTCTCTTCCTTGCCTGAAGTGTTGAAGCTGATATGTGCTTTAGCTGCTCACAGAAAATTTGCTGCAGTATTTGTGGATCGAGGCGGCATCCAAAAATTGCTTGCTGTACCAAGAGTCCTTCACACTTTCTTTGGCCTTTCCTCTTGCTTGTTTACTATTGGGTCTCTTCAGGTAAGATATTTCAGTTTTCGGTTGCCTTGTGAATATTTTGGGATCTATTTTGTAATTTATTCTATTGAGTATAACTCCATATCTGTTTGTACCTGTAGTTTATTTTTATTTCCAAACATCTGACATCAAAATATTATATCTGGAATATGTGTTTTAGGGTATCATGGAACGTGTTTGTGCCCTTCCTTCTGATGTAATTTATAAGTTGGTTGAGCTGGGTCTTCAGCTTCTGGAGTGCCCGCAGGATCAGGCTCGAAAAAATGCAGCTTTATTCTTCGCTGCTGCATTTGTCTTCAGAGCTGTCCTTGATGTTTTTGATGCACAGGATGGTCTGCAGAAATCACTTGGCCTTCTGCGTGATGCTGCTTCTGTAAGATCGGGAGTTAATTCAGGGACTTTGGGGGCTTCTCCCCCAGGAGCACTTAGAAATGATCGATCAAATGCTGATGTACTTACATCATCTGAAAAACAGATAGCTTATCACACTTGTGTTGCTCTGCGACAGTATTTTAGAGCGCAACTGTTGCTGCTGGTGGATACTGTTCGTCCTAACAAAAGCAATCGAAGTATAGCTCGTAATGTTCCAAGCATGAGAGCTGGCTATAAGCCTCTTGATATAAGTAATGAGGCTGTGGATGCAGTTTTTCTCCAGATACAGAAGGACCGAAAGCTTGGCCCTGCTTTGGTCAGAGCTAGATGGCCAGCAGTTGAGAGATTTTTAGCTTGTAATGGACACGTGACAATGCTGGAGCTATGTCAGGTGATCATCTTTCTCCCCTATTTGAATGATTCTCTTGAATCTTAAATATAGTACTAACTTTTATAAATATAGGCTCCACCTGTTGAGCGATATCTTCACGACTTGCTTCAATATGCATTGGGTATTTTGCATATTGTCACATTGGTACCATATAGCCGGAAATTGATAGCTACTGCCACATTAAGCAATGATCGTGTTGGGATAGCTGTTATTTTGGATGCTGCTAGTGGGCCTGGCTATATCGACCCTGATGTAAGTTCACTGTTGGTCTGTGCCAAGTATACAAGTGGAGATATTCTGATTAGTTCCTTGCAGCCTTGACTCCTGCTTTGCTAATTTTTTGTGTTTTTGATATTCAGATTATTCAGCAGGCATTAAATGTGTTGATCAACCTTGTTTGTCCTCCACCATCGATCAGTAATAAATCACCTCTCCTTGCACAAAACCAGCAATCTATTTCAGTAAATCCTTCTACAGAGGCCAGAGATAGAAATACAGAGAGAAATGCCACTGATCGAGCACTTTCCAGTCAAAGTGAAGCAAGGGAGCGAAACGGTGAACCCAGTACTGCAGATCGGGGTTTGTCTGTTAATAACACCATGCAAAGCCCATCTCCAAACTTAGCCTCTGGATTAGTGGGAGATCGTAGAATTTCCTTAGGTGCTGGTGCTGGGTGTGCCGGCCTTGCTGCTCAGTTAGAACAAGGATATCGCCAAGCAAGAGAGGCTGTCCGTACTAATAATGGCATTAAGGTTCTTTTGCAACTCCTTCAAACCCGTGTGGTATTGCCACCAGCTACTCTTGATTGTCTGCGTGCACTAGCATGCCGAGTCTTGCTTGGCTTAGCCAGGGATGATACTATTGCACATATATTGACAAAGCTTCAGGTAAGATACCTTCTCTATATAGGTTATTCTTTATCGAAGGCACCGCTAGTTCAGTATCATCTTATTTGTAGACGGGTGAAAATACGCTTGCTTTCAACTAATACAAGAATTAAAGAAGTTGTAAATCTAAATAAAGAGGATATTAATGTGAGTAGAATGATGAGCTTATGTTTGTATATTTCTTAAAGCAGAAAATATGATAAATTGTCATATGATTCAAAAACATATCTTCTTTTAAACTGGATTTATAGGTTGGCAAAAAGTTGTCAGAAGTGATCAGAGATTTGGGAAATCAGAACCCTGGAACTGAGCAAAACCGGTGGCAAACAGAGCTTACACAGGCAGCTATTGAGCTAATTGCGGTATGTGATGGTCAGAGATGTACTTGCATTTTGCCTATGTTGTCTTTATCTGTTTCTCTCAACTCCTCCATTTTCTTGTTAGATTTAGCGCCTTCTTGACTGAATTTGATACTACACCTCTGAATTTCTTATGCACAATATTACTATTTTTATATCATAGCTTATTTAGGACTTCAATGTTTACCTTTGGAGTATTTTAGTTGCATTCTTTGACGCATTTGCATGTTGGGTCTGTTTTTTTTAGTCAGTTGCATCTTGTATCCATGAGCTTAGTTTGGTAAGTAACTTGTGAGTTGGCCTGTTCAAAGTAGTTTAGGCAAGAGAAACATAACTTCATTGTTCAAACAATGAGACTAATAATTAATCCAGAGTTTTGGAACAATCAAATTGTAGAAGAGAATAGAGAGAGGTGGGTGGAAAAATCAAAAAAATATTGGTGTTAAACACTACAGTACTACACTGTGGCATTATAAATGTGCAACCAAAAAATTGGGATATACTACTTAAATAGCAGAAGCCTTCCTACAGTAAACAGAAACCAAAATATAAGAGAATCTAATCCTAACAAAATAAGAAAACATTTGATGCATGTCTATTATAAAGTATAGTAAGATAAGATACATTGATATTTTAGCTGAAAATAAATAGTTGACAGCACTCATGGCTGATTTATCTTTCCTTAGCTTGCAGATTCAGATTGTGCTGTACAAAGGTAGCTCTAGGTTGTGAAATACGAGTACATTTGGGGTAAAGGGAAAAATTCATTGGGTGTTCTTGAGGTATAAACCTGGTACATCGTCAAACAAAGACTCTTGCCAATCGATCCATTCACTGTGTTTTTGTGTGTGTCTTTTATTTATTTATTTATTTTATTTTACACTGGAAGGAAACTTGACGATTTGCATGGTTAAGTTCCAAATTATCTAGTTTGCACCAAGAATTTGCCTTAAGTGCTCACCTAGACAGCTAGGCTAAGTGTTCTTTACATATTTCCGGCTGTGAATTTGGTGTTAGCCATGCTTGTGGCCTTGTTTGGCAAATGGCCGTTGGCGGTTGGCTGATTCACTTGGCTTGTTTGACCAGCTGGAATGTTTGGCTGTTTATAATGACTTTTGAAATTGGCTGTTTATAAAAGTGTTTGGTAAATTAATTGTTGGTTGTTGGCTGTTTATTAGATAATTTGTGGGCCAACAAGCCAAAAGCCAACAAAAAAGTTACTCAAAGCAGCTTTTTCATTTTGGCTTAAAAGCTGACTAAAAAGCCTATTACCAAACGCGTTTTTTGGCTGTTTGACCACATAAAAAAGCCAAAAGCTAACCAAAAAGCCATTCACCAAACATGGCATGTATATTTTTATAAATTGTTAACCAGAGTTTTGATTGTCTACCTATTTAGATTTGATATTATGTTTCTCTCTTGATCCACAGATTGTTACAAATTCAGGCCGTGCTAGCACTTTAGCTGCTACTGATGCTGCTACCCCAACACTGAGGCGTATAGAGAGAGCTGCTATTGCTGCTGCTACCCCTATCACATACCATTCAAGGTACCCTGTGTTTGTGATTCTGATCCTAATTTTGTCTCTTGTACTTGTTTGTTCTAATTTTTTTTTTTTTTTGTTAATTTGTATTTTATTTTCAGGGAACTCTTGCTGCTTATGCATGAACATTTACAGGCTTGTGGTTTAACCTCTAGTGCTGCTACACTGATGAAAGAGGCGCAGTTGACGCCTCTGCCATCCTTGTCTGCACCGTCATCTCTTGCTCACCATGCTTCTGTGCAAGAGATGCCTTCTATACAGATTCAGTGGCCATCTGGTCGAGCTCCCGGTGGATTTCTAAACAAGTTAAAAGTGCTGGCCCAGAATGAGGAACTCCCCTTGAAATGTGATTCGGCTGTCTCTTCAAAGAAGAAGCCTCTTTTTTTCTCATCTAGCTTCAGTGCTCGATCAAAGGGTAGGCCTTCATCTACTGAGCTCCAAACACCTTTGATAAGCAAGTCACACAGTTTTTCAAGAAGGGCTCTGGGACCTGCTACTCTTCCAGAAAATTCTGCACCAACTTCAGATATGACGGCCGATGGCGATACTCATATGAAATCTCCAATAGTGCTGCCTATGAAAAGGAAGCTTACAGAGCTAAAGGAGGGTGCAGCAGCCTCATCTGCAAAACGATTGAATGCCAGTGAGCATGGATTAAAGTCTCCTATATTCCAAACTCCTAGTGGTGTCCGCAGAGGGAGTCTATTAAATGACCTTTCTGGTTCCATTACCCCAAATCCAAGTTTCAAGGACTTTTATGGGAGACAAACGCCTTTAGCAGGCCAGATTGATAATATTGAGGATGGTCAGTACAATGAAACTCCATTTGCTCCCAACCCAGGGCTTTCAGCTGACTTACAACCTGCCAACTCTGAAAGGCTGACCTTAGACTCCATTGTTGTTCAGTACTTGAAGCATCAACATCGCCAGTGTCCTGCTCCCATAACTACTTTACCTCCCCTTTCTCTCTTACACCCTCATGTTTGCCCTGAACCTAGACGAAGCCTTGATGCTCCATCTAATGTGACTGCACGTCTTTCTACTCGTGAATTCAGAAGTATGTACGGTGGCATCCATGGTAGTAGAAAGGATCGTCAATTTGTGTACAGCCGGTTTAGGCCATGGCGAACTTGTAGGGATGATGCTGCTGCCCTTTTGACATGCATGACGTTTCTTGGCGACTCTTCCCAGATTGCTGCTGGGAGTCATTCTGGAGAGCTCAAAATTTTCGACACCAATAGTAATAACATTTTAGAAACTTGTACCAGCCATCAGACTCCTTTGATACTTGTTCAGTCGTATCAATCTAATGCAACTAATCTAGTGCTGTCTTCCAGCTCCCTTGATGTTAAGCTGTGGGATGCATCTTCAATATCAGGCGGGCCTATCCAAACATTTGATGGATGTAAAGCCGCTAGGTTTGGCAACACTGGTTCTTGTTTTGCAGCCTTACCAACTGAAGCATCTCAACGAGAGATTCTCTTGTATGATGTGGCAACCCACCGGTTGGATCAGAAACTCTCAGATAACTCTTCTGGCCCTTCTGGTCGAGGTCATGCATACTCTATTGTGCACTTTAGTCCTGATGATACAAGGTTGCTTTGGAATGGAGTCTTGTGGGATCGACGGGCTTCTGGTCCAGTGCATCGATTTGACCACCTTACAGATTATGGTGGCGGCGGCTTTCATCCTGCAGGAAATGAGGTGAATTATTATGCTATAACATAATCTTGTTTCAATTTTTTATACTTCTCCAAAGAGTTTCTAATAGGTCTTTTACCAGTTTTTGACCATCCTTGTCTTGTTTGAATTTGTTTATTATTCCACGCTGTTATTTTAGAATTGCTCCTGATTTTGCTTTCTGTTTAATTGGGGTGTATGGAGTTAAGCTATATTGTCCAGGTTTTGTGGCATACACCAAAGTTTCTGTAATTTTCTGATATTCAAGCTGCTCCTTCCTTTTGTTGTGATTTTTGTTCATCCCATGACTAAGTTCATTGGTATTATGTTTCAGGTTATTATAAACTCAGAAGTTTGGGATCTCCGAAAGTTCAGGCTTCTTAGAAGTGTGCCTTCTCTTGACCAAACTGTTATAACATTTAACAGTAGTGGAGATGTCATTTATGCCATTTTAAGGAGGAATCTCGACGACATAATGTCATCTGTCAACACTCGTCGTTGCAAACACCCACTGTTTTCTGCATTCCGCACATTGGATGCTGTCAGCTACTTTGATATAGCCACAATCCCTGTGGACCGTGCTGTTCTGGATTTTGCAGCCGAGCCAACAGATTCATTCGTTGGGCTGGTCACTATGGATGACCAGGATGAGATGTTCTCGTCTGCTAGGGTTTACGAGATCGGTCGCCGAAGACCTCCTGATGACGACTCCGATCCTGATGATGTTGAAAGTGAGGAGGAGGACGACGACGACGATGATGATGAAGATGAAGTGGATCTAGATCCCATATTGGGCCCAGATCTTGACGGGGATGGTGATAGTGACGGTGATGATATGAGCAACGATGATAGCGGGTCTGACATCGATGACGATGATGAAGATGACGGTGACTTCTTGGTCGATGGTGGCGGTTACGATGTAGGGGGCGGGATTCTGGAAATCTTATCAGAAGGCGATGAAGATGACGATGACAGCGACATGATGGGATCTTTTAGCAGTGGGGATGAATTCATGTAATGGCAATGCCTGATTGAGGGGAGTGGAGTTGTTGGGTTTCAAGGGTCCATCCAGGTACCATTATCTCAAAAGAAAAAGGGGGTTTGGTACTTGGTCTTGTAACTATAGTTAGTTTAGGTCACAAATACATCACCTGCCTTCCATGAGTCATAGGAGAGAGAAAAGAGAGAAAAATGGAGGCTATTCCTTTCCTGTTCAGGATTTTGATTTCATTAATCTAAAGTGTCCTCAATAATTTTCCTCATATGATTGTCACTTTGTTGTTTTGTTAGTTATTATTGTCTACCGTTAATACTGAGTCTATACATACATTGCCACGCGTCGCGAACGCGTTACTGCCTCAAATGAAATTTAAAGTAAAAAGTTTTACGCAATTTGGATATTTCCAGTCATCATCTCTTTTTTGATGCTGTATCTCCAGTTGTTCAAAAGCGTTTTGATATTGTCTAAATGAAAGGAAGTGTGAATCGCTAACCTCCCTTAATTATGACACTATATGCTAAGAAATTCATGATAATCTTAAAGATAAGCAACTGACAAATAAAATGTCTTTTTCTGCTGTGGGTTCATTCATACACCCTATAAAACTATAAGAGCCACATGAACATGCTATGATAAACAAGCTCTTAAGACTCTTCACCACTGAAAGTTTGTGTGGTTTACTAATTTTAAGCTGTACTTCCAAAGTTACAGTAATTTGTTTTTTATTCAGCTTTTCGGGCCACCGTTAAATAATTCATTTGCCCATTCATATGTTTGCTGTCTTTACTGCAACTGAATCCAGGACAAAGTTGCTTACCTGCTGTATTATATAACTCTCTTTGATTCTTTATCTTTCTTGCTCCCACATTCTCTATTGGTTCATATATTCTCTCATTTCTCATTACCAAGTAGCAGTATCTTTCGAGTTTCAGCAGTGCTCTTTGAGGCTTAAGCTCTGCAAGTGTGATATCATGGTAATGCTACATGATTTTTTTTCAACTGTCTTCTATGTTTGTGTTTTCGACTTTCCACCTGATATATTTCTGCATTGGTTACTGCAGGTTTTGGTCGGAGATTACGATAAACATGGTGATGATAGTGAAGCTGTAGTAGACTTTAATGGAAATCCAGCAGATACGGCTCGTACTGGAGGGTGGCTTGCTGCTGGCCTCATTTTAGGTTGGTATACATGCAGTTTTGAGCTACGTTCTTTCTTATCTTTTTTATTTGTGACAGCAGATTTTTGACAAGTTTTTTCTGGTTATTGTAGGGACTGAATTTGCTGAGAGAGTATGTGTTATGGGGATTTCGATGAATTTGGTCACGTACTTGGTTGGATCTCTGCATCTTACATCATCAAAATCTGCTACTATAGTGACCAACTTCATGGGAACTCTCAATCTTCTAGGCTTGTTTGGAGGATTTATTGCTGATGCTAAGCTAGGGCGGTACTTGACTGTTGCTATCTTTGCATCCATAGCAGCTGTGGTGAGTTCCAGCTTCAGAGCTTACAAATCTAGTTTAGAATCTGAATAAGTTTTTTTTTTTTTTTTTTTTTTTTTTTTTTTTTTTTGAGAACAACTGAATAAGCTTATTTTATATTTGTGTTCTAGCACAAAGTATGTCACTAACTCACTAACAAAGCATAATTTTTTGTGCATGACATAGCTCCTAGAAATAGAATATTAGGCGTATCTAAACTGGATTCATTTATCAATATATTATAATCATCAATTAGATTCTTGGGTATCCCTATCTTTAGGTATATGTTATAACCAGGATTTTTAAGAATCTTCAAAGTCAATGAGCTCTTAAAGGACTGATTGTGATTTTATTTTCTGATTGTGAATTTACAAAGTCTAGGTGCTTTTTCCTCCTGTTTTATTTCTCGTCGAGACTAAAAACAATTTATTCCTGTTATGTAATGAGAAGTATTGACTTGTTTCATGTAATCTTTTATAAATAAACTAGGGAGTGTCACTCTTAACATTGGCAACCTCACTTCCAAGCATGAGACCCCCTCCATGCAGCAACATAGGGGCACCAGATAGCGACTGCATTCAAGCCAATGGAAAACAATTAGCCATGCTCTATGCCGCTCTTTACATCCTTGCTCTAGGTGGAGGGGGCATAAAGTCCAATGTCTCAGGCTTTGGTACTGACCAATTTGATCCATCAGACCCAAAAGAAGAAAAGGCCATGATATTCTTCTTCAACAGGTTCTACTTCTGCATCAGCATAGGCTCGCTGTTTGCTGTTACTGTCCTTGTTTATGTTCAAGATGATGTAGGAAGAGGGTGGGGTTATGGCATTTCAGCTGCAACCATGATGGTTGGGGTCCTTGTTTTACTGGCCGGAACACGGTTGTATCGGTACAAGTCTCCTCAGGGAAGTCCCCTGACAGTTGTCTGGAGGGTGCTTTTCCTGGCCTTTAAAAAGAGGAAGCTTCCTCATCCCTCTCATCCCAGCTTTCTGAATGGGTTTCAGACTGCCAAGATCTCTTACAGTCCTTTGTTCAGGTAAACATCTTCCTTTTGACACATTTTTTTTCCTTTTCTACATAAAATAAGGGAAATCCAGAAATATCTTTTAATGGGGTCCTTTATTTAATTGCTTTGCATGTTTCTTTTTTATCTTTAAATTATAAACTTTTAGGATATTCTTATATAATACTTACAATAATTGGCCTTTCTTCCAGGGTGGGGTGTTGGAGGACCCTATTATGGATAATTATTGGCTAATCTTTGGAATTACAACTTTGCATGATAACATGTTATCAATTCAATTAATGCAGTCTGGTATTTGTTATACCAAATCAATTCAATCATTGTACTGGGATTCCAAATCTATTTTTTCTGTCCTGTATTGTTTTGTATTTCGTATGTACTCGAAAATTGAGTGCAGTAGATGGATAGAAAATAAGAGGATGTGTGAGGTTGATGAGAGAAAAAGTAATGGAGTGTGGGGATCGAGAGAAAAATAAACACAAAAGAATATCCTTCAGACAACTGTGCGATTAATTTTGACAACTAATTTGATTTAGCAAAACTGAGCCGACTTAAAAGAATATAACCATAACCGAGATTGGATAACCCAATTTGATTCAAATTTAAATTTATCTTAATCAACCTGAATATGACTAAAATAAGCCAATTTTCGGACTTAATTGATGATTTTTAAAACTCTTTTAAATCTGTTAGAAAATTTGTGTTGGATTAGAAAGTAATTGAGCTTAAATATGATTATATGAAGACTAATTTTGTGAAATTTTGAACCTGCAGATGTCTTGACAAAGCAGCCATCATAGATGATTTTGCTGCAAAGGACGAAAACAGGTACAATCCATGGATAGTCTCAACAATGACAGAAGTTGAAGAGGTGAAATTGGTGCTTAAATTGTTCCCCATTTGGTCTACCTGTATTCTCTTCTGGACAGTCTATTCTCAGATGACTACATTCACCATTGAGCAAGCAACTTTCATGGACCGAAAAGTAGGATCCTTTGACGTTCCTGCAGGCTCTTTCTCTGTATTCCTCTTCATTTCAATCCTCCTCTTTACCTCCTTGAACGAAAGGGTATTCGTCCCCATTGCCAGGAGACTCACACACAATTCTCAAGGCCTCACGAGCCTTCAAAGGGTTGGGATTGGTCTTGTGTCTGCTATGTTAGCGATGATTGCTGCTGCCATCGTTGAGATACACAGGAAACAGAAAGCACATCAGGGAATTAAAATCAGCGCATTCTGGCTTGTCCCTCAGTACTTATTTGTTGGTGCAGGGGAGGGATTCGCTTATGTTGGCCAGCTCGAGTTCTTCATTAGGGAGGCCCCTGAAAAGATGAAATCTATGAGCACTGGTAAGTATCAGAAGCTGTATCTTTCATAGAGAAATTTGCCTACTACTACAGCTTAATATCGAAATTCTAAACTGTCTGTTTTATGAATGCAGGGTTCTTCCTGAGCACACTTGCAATGGGATTTTTTGTGAGCAGCTTGCTGGTTTCGATAGTAGATGAAACATCACATGAAACATGGTTGAAGAGCAACTTGAATAAGGGAAGGTTGAATGATTTCTACTGGCTACTCGCCGGGTTGGTGGCCATAGACTTCGTTATTTTTCTAATTTTCGCCATGAAACATCAGTACAAAGTAAAGCAACACATAGAAGTGTTGAATAATGATGAGAAGGAACTCGAGAGTTGGGAGAAAGGCAATGGAGTTGCTTAGTCTAAGGATGCATGAAAGAAAATGTTCATGTACAATTGATTAGGGGAGTGTATTGTCCGAACTATGTAAATCATGTAGAGCTCGGAGCTCGATCCGATCCAATAGTTTCAATCACCTCTAAACCTCAAGGTACAAACCTTAGAGGTTAATTATTGTTAGGAATTTTAGTGTGCTTTAGTTAGAATAGTTTATGTCTTGCACTAAGATTGTTGATTCTCTACAATGTGTAAATTGCAAGTTCTCCATTTCCTTAAAGGGTTGAAGATATAGCAATGGTTTTTCTTTGATGTTTTCACAATTAACTTTTAGCTAATTCACAAACGGTAGATCACTAGGTTACAATTTTTATACAAAGAAAGACACAAACGACAAATTTTAAAATTGTTTAGTTATGAATGAAAATAACATCATGTTTTATATAAATATCAACTAAATTTTATTATAACATTCCAAAACCAAATCCATATCATACTTTTATTGGTGTTTTATATAAATAATGTGTCTTTTTATATCTTTTGAGGTGGCAATGTCACATTAGTCACTTTAATAAATTCTTATAGGAGAAATGTATCAAAAAAATTGGGCACAAAAGATCAAAGTTAGGTTAGATGACATGACAATGGATAAATGGTGTAGGAAAGAAAATATACTCCTTCTGTTCCTTTTTATTTGCACCATGGGCCCATTTAATTTTATGTAAGAGTTTTAGGCAAATTATAAGATGCACCATGGTGCATATAGTTCTATGTGAACCACCATTTAAAATATAATCTCTATTCTCTTTCCTCCTCTACTTTCCTAATTTCTGATTTTTTTCTCTCTTTTATTTTCTCTCTCCTCTATTTTCTCTCTCCTCTATTTTTCTCTCTATTTTATTTTTCTTTCTCTTGAATTAGTTCATCATCCTTTTAATTGAATTCCTTCATATTGTTAATCACCATAGAGTGAATTTCTTCATTACAATAAATTAAATTCAAATTTTGTTTTCTTCAACCTTCGATTTGAAGCTTCGTTAATGGAGTTTTACAATGAAGTAGTGAAGC